AAATTTTTTGCCTCAGTTACAAATTCTATTGGTTAATTATTTATATTAATAATAAAATTAGCCTTTAGGAAGTCAATGCAATGTGATTTTTATTTCCAAAAAGTAGGGTGAAGCGGGGTAATTGCGGCATGGTTATGCGATTTTCGTTTTCAAACGTGCATTTCTAAGGCATTTATGAACATAGAAAACCTTTTTTTTTTTAATTGTAGCTTAACTATTGTCCTAAACGAATCAGCACTCTATTATAAGAATATTACTGCACGTAAAGTGTCACGATTTTTTTTTTCATTGCACAAATGCCACAATTACCCTGTGATTTGGGGCAAATGTGGCCGAGAGGGAGACGAACACTTTTGTTTTTTGCTCGACTTTGTAGCTCAATAAATAGGGAAGCACGAATGGAATAAAAAATCCAAATCAAAAAACTGGTTTATTAATAAACATCATACAACCTTAACCAAAGCGACCTATAAGGAACAAAACCTCGCTTAAAGCTTCTAAAATCAAATTTTAGCAAAATTCTCATATATAATACCACAAGAGAAAAAAATTTGTTGGTAAACTTTTCGACTGGTATGAAAGTTTGTTGATTGGCAATTTCGCGAATGGCATTTTTGACAAAACCACGAGCCGTCAGGCGAGTGGTTTTGTCAAAAATGTCATGAGCGAAATAGACCTATCTATTTTACCAGACAAAGAGGTAATAATACAAAAACTTTATTCGATAGAAAAAGACGCAAAACGCTTATTGCGCAAGACGAGGCAAAACGTACCAAATTATGTTAGACTTACGTATAGCAATTCGTTCTTATTATTAGCACGGGATAAAAAAGGAAGGAGGAGAACCGCGTGACGTGCAACCTATTTGTCAATCAAAAATACAAACAATTGAAAATCGATCACTTGTCAAGCTACGTCAAGTTGAATATCAAGCATAATTTTATCCTTGTTAGACTACGGGCAATGAACAAGGACAAGGAGATGCCCAGCATGCAAAAGGATTACTTCACACCTGTACTAGTAGCCAATAAAAATGCATTGCCTCGTGTTGCGCGCGCATACAGGTAAAAATAGATAGGTCTATTACCAAAAAGCAAAAAACTTGAATAAAATCAAGAGAATAATTTTGCCTACATAATTTTTTCTTGAGTAGTATTCGGCTGGACTATTTCACGAGAAAAACAAGCCAAATTTTAATTTGGAAAATTTATTTTCATTAGGTGACATTTGTCAAACTCAATTGAACTATCCAAGATGCTGTCAAACTTGAATTAAAATGGCCGCCAAGAGGCACACAAACCCTTTTTTTATGTGTCATTCAATGTGTCATGAAATTTTTTTCAAAAAAATAGTGCTCATTGTTCATTTGCCTTTTGATACTCGTTCTTTTTACTCGTATTTTTATTAATGTTAGAAATAGAACAGATCCCTAGGGCACTCCTGCAGTGACCAACCCCTCTGAAGTACTGCACCCCTAGAAGCAGTACTTCATGACAGACACAATCGAAAGCTTTTTTCAGGTCACAAAAAACTACCGCGGCCACTTCTTCGTCATTTATCTTCTAATACAGCTCATCCAGGAGATGAAATATGGTATCAGTGTTTTTTGACTGCTGAAACAGAGACAGAGAATAGTTATTTATGGTACTAGTGTGTTATGTTGAAAATAAGTCACGCGAGAAAGATTTATACCACAAGGCCGTCAGGCCGAGTGGTATAAATTCTCAAGTGACTTAGGAAATATAACGCACGAGTGGCATACAATGTTTTATCCAACAAGTAGAAGAAATCGTTTTTTTATGTGATAATACAAAAAAAAATACAAGATTCTATGCGTCGGCGTCTTCCAGCACTATCAGCAGGTGTACCGATATAGGAGCGTCTGGGTTCCAATGACTTCAAATCCGAATAAACCGTTAACGTTTCCTTTAATTTCAATATCAATGTGAATTCTGCTTGTAATAGTAATAAATAAATAGAATACTACTTTAAATATGAACGTGTGTTATAATCCATAACTCACTAGTGAGTTATGGATTATAACACACTAGTGTGTTATTTGATAGTTTACTTGTCTAAAATGACATTAATAATAATAGTCATAACTGTCATGTGTTGGATAAAGCAATTTATGTCTATCAAGGAAGCTCACCATCCACCTTAATTAGCCACTCTACAATTTTAGTCTAAGTTGCCAGTAAGGATATTGGCCGGTAATAAGATGGTAAATTCTTATCACCCCCCTATTAAACCAAGGTACTACCCAAGATTGCTTCAAAAATGAGGGAAAACTTCCGGTAAGAAAATAATTAATAGGTAATGGAATCCGCCAACACATCAACAGCCTAACTGAGATATCGTCCCATCCAGAAGATTTTCTATTTTTGATACTCATTTTCTGAGCAATCGTACAGTAGTATGAATTAATATTATCTGCTTTCAAATTGGAAGCACATATGTATATTTCTTTTTTTTTTCGCGTTGGTCGTTACTATTTTTGTTTATTGGATGCGGATGCCCAACCTCTCATTGTAATAAATCTTCCTTGCCTGTTTCATCGTCTTTCTGTAGATGCTCCTGTATCCATTATTTAAAGTAGGTAGCACAATGGTAGCACAACACTGGACGGTGGAGTTGCAACAAATAAATATTTTCACATTTTAAGGGTAGGTCCTGGGGTCCAAGTGAAATGTAGGTAGAGCAATCTTGCCCAAACAATAGGGATTCCGTAATTGACCTTTTCAATTTAAAACCCTCTCTCTCTGGCGTCAAACTGTCAGACGCCAAAAGAGTATGAAAACAACGGTTGACAGCCGCTGACAGTGGTTTGTTGACAAGATTTTTGTACATGTGGAAACTGGAAACTATTATTTCTTCGGTTTTTTCAAAGTTTTTTCCTAACAATAGTGATTGTGTAGTGTGCCTTTTTGTAAAAATAATTCCTATTTACTGGCGGACGTGTCTTTCCATAAGTTTCCATCAAATCCTACATTTGTCAAATTTTGGATACATAAAATCAGAAAGAATACTCGCAAAAAAAGGGAAATCCACGGCCTATCAAGTATACAAAGTAATCCACGTTCAAGTTTAGTTTGCGGGAGCTGTTTGCTTCCAAAATAATCCACCGCTTTCTCCATAGCGAAGTTCTGCAAATGAAGTAGTGACTTTTCCTGCATTTTCTTTCAAAACACCCCAATACACACTGGCATTGACAAGCAAGCAAATGTTGGCGGGAAAATGATTGTTTTCATACTTTATTGTCCATCTCTTTTAATTGAAAACGTCAATTGGGTAGAAACGGCCAAAAATTGAGACGCACCCAATAGAAAATGAGTATTTGATTATGATCATTAATGACATAACCTAATGACGTTATGGTTTGTGTTTGTGTGCCTCTTGTCGGCCATATTTGTGTCACGTGTTTTGGATAGTCTAATAGTTTTTTACATTAACCACACAAAATTTTGTCGCTGAAAAACAATCATGTTGGTTTTTGTCCAGGTAGGAACAGGTAGGAGTTTTTTCAGTAGGAAACCGGCCGTTCCTATGACATTTTGCCAGTGTAAAACACTCTAGTGAAATAGTCATGACAAGAACTTAAAAAATAGGAAAAAATAATAAAAAAGATCAAATTCTCTGATACAAAAAAAAGGAAAGTATATTACATGGGCTAACAACATGTTTTTACTTCATTTTATAGCCTACAAATGCCACTGAAAATTTAAAAATGTCACGACGAGTGTTAATTGGGTGTGGTAATTTTTTCTCAATATCATGCTGACCAACAATAGAAATGTCGTCTACCTGAACAAAACTATCATTTTTGTCTTGTCTTAAAAACCTCACTGTAAATTCGTCTGATTTCCGACGTTGCCACGTTTACCCCGAAAAATTGCCACAATTGCCCCTATAACCTTCTATGGGGGGGCAAATGTGGCAGACTGTCTAGTAATGCTGTGCTTCAAATTACAACCATTTTGACATCAAAAATGGACTCAGGGTTCAAAATTATACAAGCAAAAGTGTTCGAAGTACTTGAAATACATCGTAGAGCTTCGATAAAAATTAAAGTATAACATTGTGTCCAAGTACGAGTTATACCTAAAAAAAGGCAACGTGGCAAAACTTAGGAAATTTCGGTTCACACAAGTTCCAACTTTTTTATTCAATAAACCTTATACAGTAGACATATTAAGAAATAGGTTTGGCATGTTCCGACCCTGGAATGTAGGTTTTTTCTAATTTTTTTTCACAAGTGCCACTTTTGCCCCAAACCGCAATTACCCCACTTCACCCTACAGCGCACGACTTTGAGGGATTAATTTTAAGATTCTCTTCAGACAGTTGAGAAATAATTTTCAAATCAGAATAAATAAATAAGAAATATTCTTCTGGCTCTGTAATTCTCAAATTAACACTTTCCTGACTTTCCTCTCGGACACGTCAATTTTTATTTTTGGTGTGTTTTTGAACATGTCCGAGAGGAAAGTCAAGTCAGGAAATAAGTGTTAGTTCGAGAATAACAGGGCCAGAATTTTTTTTGTTATTTAGCCCATGTCAACTTTGACAATGGATATCTTGAGAACAAATCATTCGATTTTTCAAAAAAAAAACGCATATATATGACGAGACTCAAAATATACCCTTGAATCCACTGACCCATCTTCCCTGTCTAAAAAAGAAGAGTGAAAGTCATCCCACCCAGGTGGTGTACCCTAGCGAAATACCGATGGGGTCAAAAAGTTGCCCCCTACAAAATTGAAATGTCCGAGCGTTTTTTTTTTTTTTTTAATCGACCTTAATATTTTAAGGTCGAGAGGCTAGAGCGCTTCTGCTTCGATGTTCGTGAAACACCGTATATATATCTCGAAAGATGTCAAAGCTATCCGAATGATTTTTATTTGAAATCGTATAAAACTATAAAAACAAAAAAGTACTCGCTCGAATAAGTTTTCCAATAAAATAAACCCATGCATAATACTACGAGAGTGAGTACCTAAATGGACTTTCCGAGAAAATAAAGCTACATAAAATCACTCATTTCCGGAACTAGACATCCAATAAACCAACACCGGATGGAGATGAGAGAAACCATTAAAATATCACCCAGCAACAAAAAGGTACCTAACCAAACGATGGGAAGACCCAAATTATATAAATTAAACAAAGACCGGCTACCTAGTGTAACGAGAAAGGAAAGGACGCAACTACCTATGGGAGGATACAGCATCCTATTGGCCAAAAATCATCACTAACCTAAACCCCAGCCAGTGCAGCATCTTTTAGTTAGTCTTGTGTGGTTCAGTAAGCGCCGTGCCGTGTTTTAAAAATAGCAAGTTCACTGAAAATGTTTGAAAATAGTCAGCCTTTGTCTCCTACATCATCGTCTACATCCGAGTATGATCGCATGGTTGATTATCCTTCAACAAAACTAACAGATTTAACAAATTCATCAAATAGTGACAAATATTTACCGACAACCTTGCCTTCGACGGCAAATAGTGCTTTTAACGCGTATTGTGCTTCATATCCAGAATCTAGATATTTTTACGACCAAGAAGATCAGTACCATCCTCACCAAGACCGGTTTGTACCTTATCCAGTTACTTATATCAAAGTGGAGCCCGAAGAAGAATCGCATTTATTAAAAACGAGAACTGTAGGAGGTAGAAAGCGTAAAAGTTTGGACTCAGACGACGAAAATAGTTTCCAAAAAAAGTCTAAAAGAAAACCGCCGCAAAGCTACGAAGAAATTCAAAATCAACGTGTGATGGCTAATGTACGTGAGAGACAAAGAACGCAGAGCTTGAACGAAGCTTTTGCCAGTTTAAGAAAAAGCATTCCAACTTTACCATCGGATAAATTATCCAAAATTCAAACGTTGAAACTTGCGGCACGGTACATAGACTTCTTGTATACGGTTTTATCGACATCGTCTTCGGAAAATCCAGGTGATAGTGACGTTTTAGGTAATGTATGTTCCTATACGGCGCACGAAAAACTTTCCAGAGCTTTTTCCATGTGGAGAATGGAAGGAGACTGGAACAATACGTTATAGTTGTTCAGTGAGATTAGTTTGGTGTATATAGAATTTTTTGTTTTAAGTTTTCTCTTCACGAATGAACAATTCAATTCAATCTATTTCTTGCCTCGTCGACAATGCTTTTTAGTTGAGTACGTTAATATTAATACAAACTTTGTTTGTTTCAACCTTGTTCTGATATCGGAGGTAAGCCCCTGGAATACCATATTTCAAATTTAGCTTTTATTTAACTTTATCTTATTAACATGGGCTTACAAGCATACCTACTTATTGCTTAAAACAATAATTATTATTATCGGCTATATTTTTATATTATGTATAAATGTAATTATTATCAAATTAATTCCGTAAATTAATTAATATTGAATGTATAATATAGCAAGCCAAGCATAGGGCCAAAGTCATAGGGCTACCAACCAAAGGATTTTTTGTATATAGTATACATGGTAAGCCAAAAACGTGTTATATACTTGTAGTTTGGTCCACCAAGTACAAACTTATTTTATAAGTTAACCAAATAATTTTCTAGTTTGTTTCGCATTTTCACTGCATTTGATTTTTTTTTCTGTTTACACTTATATACTTGGACTTTTTTCAACAGGCTCTCTGATCTCTTCTCGTTTGTTGAATTATAGTTTTTTTAATTAATAATTAATATTAATTATTATCTGTTGGTGTTATGTTGATCCCTCCCACCAAGCTCTTTTGTGATTTAGATATACGATATTGTTAAGGTTTTTTTTATGTATTAATTTATGAACCCCATGTGAACGCAGATGTTAGCGGGTTCTTAATGTCATTAAGTTTTTTTCAGGAGCATCTTTTCGTCTCAAATTTCAGCACATAAAAAGTTGGTTTTATGTTTCTGAAAAATAAGTGTCATAAGCAGAAGCTGAAAATGTGTCTTTTATTGTTTATGTATAATTTTCAGCTTCGAAGTATCAAGTAGGTATAGTGCAAAAAAAAATCCCATTGATAATCATAAAAAATTAACATTATTAATAATTAAGTTTTGTATATTGTACAAGAAAAAAAGTTGACAATTATTATTGTAACCGTTTATTTATTTTTGATTTAAATAAAATATTTTTTTATTGAACAGGTGGTTTTTTATTTAGGCTCGGTTAATTCATTTTCAGATAAACTTGCTGGTAACAATCGCAAGATAAATACCTAATTTACCGTTCTATAATTCTATTATTCGGCAGATGACTAGCCGATCAATGGGATTACAGAATGCCTTTTTATCCCTCATATTGCATACCTGACAGTTTATCAGAAGGTGAATAAACCGGCCCCTAATCTGCATAAATGATGATTTGAATTATACAACAGTGTTACCAAAGTTTGTGTTACTTTGGTAAATGAGTCGTCGATAGGTTGAGCATTGGTAAATTGTAACTTAACGTGTATTTGTGGGTTCCAAGAATTATTCAGTTAGTTTTTAGGTTGATTCAACCAGATAGAAACCAAAGGTAGGTATATATCATTGTTTCTAGAATTGGGGTAGAATACTGAGTGGATCAATTGTTACTTGTTTAGGCACAGTAGGTCCCAATTCATTTTTCATAAATCAAGAGTAATTTCAACTTCAAATTACTACCAGGGATACATTTCATTAGGGATCCTAATGAATACAGAATAATGCATAGTTTTTGTATAATTGGTTTTATATTAATTAGAGGATTTCCATATTTTTCTTCAAAGCAGATCATTTACAATCTCTTTAACTAAAACAATTCGGATAATCTTTGATTAGGGGTGAAATGCATTAATCATGGATTTGCCTCCATGATGAATTTTATATAATTTTTGTAGTGCCTATAATTTCACGGCCAGATTCCACTATATTTGTTCTAATTATTGCAGAAGTATTCTAGTAGGTATTGCTATGATGAGGATTCAATCTTTTTCAATAGACTTAATTTTATCTTGAATTTTTGCTTGAATGTAGGATTAGCAGGTGAAGTTTGTTTCGCCAGGGTTTGTGCTTGCCACCAGCATTTGCCTTCCTTGTTCAACAAATCAAAATTGACTGAAACAAATCAATGACGTCAAAAACGTTCGTCGGTTCTTAAATCATTTTAATTTGTCAAAAAAATTGAATGTGTAATATGAATTAATCTACGACAACCCTTTTTTTTCAAGTTTCAAGGTCAAGTATGAACCCTGGTGAAACGGACCTTAGGTACTATCATAAGCAACAAATTACAAGCAATCACCGCATACCATATTAACGTCAGTAATATTATTTTTTCTACAATTAGGCAATCTCAATCACGTGATTTTATAATGGCCGTTCGGGTCAAATATTGCGGTGACAGGGGTGACAAGCCGGTGACGTTCATAAGGAGAACTTGTGCACATTTGTGTTCTGGCCCTTGTTGCTTTCGAAGTGAATTTTATAGTCTTTGGTGTTTCTACGTATTTTTTTATTGGTTGTGGCCATTGTTTTATTGGTTTTGGCCTCTGTTAGATCCTTTCTTTAAATTGCAGCAATCCATAAAGCCTGCGTTGTTTTGATAATTTTTATTTGTAGATCAACAGCCATAATGATTTAAAATAGCAGGAGCTGAATAAAATTCACATTATCCCTGTTACCTCGACTTCCACACCCAATTACGATGCAAATCGCTGGCATTTTAATTAACACAATACCTAAACACACAAAAAACACAGAAACCGATAAACCAAATCTTGACGTTTGTCCAGAATGTGACAGAATCAATGACATACAAAATAAACAACACAGTGCTTGACCCAATGCTTGACCCGAACTTCCATATTGAATTTCGTTTTTGACAGGTCAGTAGATTGCCTAATTGTCAAAAAATAATGATGTTCGCACACTCATGACAGTTTGCGAAGTGACACTTTTTTTCCCAGGTATTGATTTTTTAACGTTCCCATGACACCAGTGTGCGAACTAGCTATTTCGCACCCTAGTGTGCGAAATAGCTAGTTGGCACACTGGTGTCATGGTGACACATACATGTCAGGATGCCAAAAATAATTAAAATTCACCTGCTTTTGATTGGAAATGCAATTTTGGCTTCGAATGATCGATATTTGAATGGAGTAGTAGAAAAAATATTGTATGCAACTCGAACGCGAATTGTTTTTGGTTATTTCGAACGATTTTTTGACTCCCGCTACGCGTCGTCAAAAATTTTTCGTTCTCGATCACCAAAATGATATTTCGCGCACTTGTTAGAAAAATAACTATTTTCGTCGTACATTTCTAATGTGTTCAATTAGAGTTGAATTCAGTATTTCTACTGGTGCATTGAATTCATGATAAATGGGCATAGTGGAATGAATTTTAGCATTATGCAATTTCAAGGGATTTTTAAATTTTGTTCGAGAAGAATTAATTTAGAAATGCCTGAAAAATGGGTAGAATTTTTCCTCCATGTCTTGAGTCAGTTATAGTTATACCAATTTTTAAAGGGGGCGATAGCGCTGACCCATAGAACTATAGGCCAATCTCTCTCTTTCCTCAAGATCATGGCAAAAATTGTTAAGGAAAAACTGTTTGAATACTTGAATGAATATATCATTCTGAGTCAAAATCTGTTGAATATAATAATGTGTTTTATCTACAAGTGTTTGGTTATGACGTTTTTACATAACCATTTTTCTAGTATTTGAGTTATGTCATGAGACTCATAACACAACTAGTTGTGTTATGGACTTAGTTATGAATCTATAACACAACTATTTTTGGTGATTTGATAAATGTCAAAGGTAAACCTGTAAAGGTAAAATGAAGGTATATAGACAACTACTAATAAATGAAAATAATTGAAAAAACATTCCTATTTTTCTCTTGTAGATAAAACATTGTACATCACACGTGCGTTTAAGCATGACTACAAAACTCGTGTGATTAGAACGACTCGGTCTACGACCTCGTCGCTCTAATCTATCACACTCGTTATTGTAAACATGTTCATAAACGCCCTTTTAATGTAAATAACTATTACCACACATATTATTGTTTTACCTGGCACGAAACGCGTTACGCAGCAACACCACGACTCCGAAGGAGTAGTGGTGTTGCTGGTAACGCGTCGAGTGTCAGGTAAAAGTACAAGGTAATCCTGAAACATCGAGTGGTGTTCAAAAGGTTATACAACGAACTAATTTTTAATACTTTATTAATTTTTATTATTATTAATAACAATATTGCCACCAAGCGCGATAATCCCAAAAGGCTTATCACTTATTAAGCCTCTCGTGTCATATGGGAATAATATACAGTGAGTTGTATAATCTAATGTAATCTCAGATTCAATCGTTTCTTGTCTCAATTATTTAATACTTTTTAGTCAGTTTTTCTCGTTATTCCATATTTCACATTATGGCTGTGTTCTTTTTTCAACTGGCAGTACTGAATTTCCGCTGTGCGGTTTTTACTGTATTTGTCGTTTTTTTTTCAACCAGCTGCTGTATTACTGGTTGATTTTGGAACGAATTCCAGTAATTATTGACATTTGACCGGCGAGAAAGCTGACCTAACCTAACAACATGAATATTTTATATTTTTCGTTTTTCTTTCTCAAGCTTTCTCAAATAATTTAATAGTTGGGTATTATTACTGTAAATTATTATAGTAATACAATGCTTTTAATAACGTAGTTGCCCTGGCCTCTGAAGGTCACTGGAATAATTACTAATTACATAAAATCTAATTTAGTCCAAAGATACCTTTTGTTTTGTTATTACAAACAAACCTTCCAAGTTTAAAGAAAATCTGGAAAGGGATTTTTGAGCTAATAAACCTCAGTGAAAAACTTTTTTTTTTCAAACTTTAACAGCCTAATCTCAAAAACTAAGCATATTAGGCAATTCAATCCATCTGTCAAAAAGGAAAATTCAATGTGGCGTGGCGGCCAAGCAAGTTTGTTTTGAATATGTTTTTATGCGTATTTTAAATTATTTTGCATAGAGTTTTGCTTACAACTTTGATTTTCATTATTTAATAAAATATTTGTTAACTAGGTACCTTAACTATTAATTCGGGCAGAAACTAGATATTTTTTTGTGTTTTTGGCCCATGTGTGGCCGCCACGCCATCTTGAATGTCACGTGGTTTGAATTGCCTAATGCATACCCATAGCCGCTTTCGGGTGCAGGGGTGCTTTATCAGTGGCGTAGCCAGTAGGGGGGCAGGGGGGGCGACGCCCCCCCCCCCGCCTCTACACGTGTGGCGCCCCTACCGCTCTTAAAAAACAAAAGCAAAAAATAAGAAATAAAATGTTGCTGTTTCTTATTTATTTTATCGACCTCATCTTCACCTTTTATTCTTTATCGTAAGTCAGCATTGTCGCCAAATGGTTCAGTTCAATCAAAGGAAAAGTGATAGTTTCTGTTTTGATGATTGATGTAATATTTGTTTATTAAAAGGCGGTTACACACGGACGTGGATGTCTTGATACATATACGTGCATACATCATTGTGCAAACAACAACATGCATGTCGCGTTTGTACAGACGCTCGCACAAAACTGCAGTCTTGCTATTGGGCGGTTACACACGGACGTGGATGTCTTACTACATATACGTGCATACATCAACGTGCAAACAACAACGTGCATGGCGCTTTTGTACAGACGCTCGCACAAAACTGCAGTCTTGCTATTCTTGCTACAGTGTTCCGAGTGTGCATACAAAATTGCACATTCAAAAACGTGACGGTATTTTGCATACACATTGATGTTTTTGTTTGCACGTTCATGTATGTGCGTACATGTTTTCAGACATCCACGTCCGTGTGTAACCGCCTAAACTATGGGTTGCTGGGTTGGGTGGGGCTGTCATCCGTCCAGATTTCCCCGGATTTGTTCTAGTTTTCAAGGCGTCCGGGGCTGCGTTCAAAAACGGCTAAAGCCGAGCCAAAATTGGCATTATTGCGTTCAAGTTCGGCTCCAGCGTGCCAAAAACGGTTGGCTTTACACGTTCCAAATCGGCCGCGGTAAAGTAACTTTTGGAGGCTCTTTCAACTGAGTCTAGAAATGGTTATACGAATTTTGATTGGATGAGACCAAATTCAATATGGCGTGGCGGCCAGGCCAGTTAGTTTTGAATATGGGTTTT